TGAAATTGACGAGGGAGCCAGTGGAGGCGCCGAGAAGGAACCCGGAGAGAGGGCCAGCTGGAACTACCAGTGAGGTAACTGGGGAAGACCCAGCAGGAACGCCGGTGAGGGAACCTGGATAGAGCCGGCAGGAATTCCGGTGAGGGAACTGGGGAAGAGCCGGCAGGGACCACCGGGGAAGCGCCGGCAGAGACGCCGGCAAGGGCGTTGGGAAAGAAGCCCGCAAGGGCAAGAGGGCCCACGACGCGCAGTCCTCGGGCCGGGGACAAGGAGCAGAAGGTCTGCAACCAAAGGTGGTGTTGGCCACGAGATAAGACAGCTGAGAGTGCTGTTACAACTGTTGCGCGACTTGCTGGATAAGTGGGTGAGTCCAGTGGGGCAGGACTGAGAGGCATTAGCCGACCAGATTGTCCTGGAGCAATTCCAGAACGATTTAGAAGAGCGGATGCAACGATGGGTCCGACAGCATACCCCACAGAACTGCGAGGAAGCTCTGAGGTTGGCCGAAGCTTTTGCTGCCTCGGAGGCGTACTACCCTAGGAAGAGGAAGAACCAGGGACCCTCGGTGGCAGCCCCACAAGAACCGGAGCGCAGGCGTCCGCCCAACCGAGGGGCTCCCAGGGATACAGTATGTTTCCGGTGCGGGCAGAAGGGCCATTTTTCCAGGGAATGCCCGCGGCAGTCCATGGAACGATGGGTCCTGGATAACAGAACAAAAGCCCCAGCAGAGCGGTGGCGAGGCCAAGGCCTTGGCGAGACTTTGGACTGCAGTTATGTGGTCGGCGGAGAGAACGTGGCTTGGAAGCGCCCGGTTGTCACAGCATGGGTGGCAGGCCGCCCCGTGCGAGCTACCCTGGATTCAGGGTGTGCTCAATCCCTCGTCAGGGAAGATTTGATACCACCACAGGGTCGTGGGACGGCTCCCCCCATGAGAATAGCCTGCCTCCATGGGGACGCGAAGCAGACCGAGCGCCAACGGGTCCGCCTATGGGTAATGGAGCATCAGGGAGAACTCCTGGTGGGCGTGGTGCCCCGGTTAGCATGTGAAATGCTCCTGGGGCACGACTGGGCGCCAATATACGATGTCCTAGACAGGGTGAGGGACGCAGAAGTAGCCCGTAAAAAGATCCAGAGCCAAGAGGGCTGGTTGGGCGAGCTTGAAGAAGGAGAAGGGTAAACCGATGAGGCGAATATGTTGGACCTCAACAACCTTACGAGTAGTCTCCTGTTCCGCGACGCCCAAGAGAAGGATCCGGAGATCGGGACGCTTCAAGAGCAGGCCCAAGGTACCCAGAGGGCCTCTACGTTGCCACCAGAAGGACGGGCCCACTTCGAGGTAAGGGACCGACTCCTGTACTGCCTACAAGGGGACAGGGGGGAGGAGGTCGAGGGTCCGCAGCTAGTGGTGCCCGCCCAATTCCGCCAGGCTATTTGGCAGTTGGCGCATGTGAGCCCCGTAGGGGGGCATCTGGGCCGGGATAAAACCCTCGCGAAGGTGAGCAGATGGTTTTTTTGACCCTGGATGGGGGAGGAAGTAGCCTGCCGGTGTGCGGCCTGCCCCACCTGTCAAAAGACAAGAACCGAACACCCTCCTCAGGCCCCCCTCCAATCCATGCCTGTTATCACCACCCCATTCTTGAGGATCGCCTTAGACGTCGTGGGCCCAGTGCCCCGCAGTAGCTCGGGTCACCAATACATCCTAGTTATCGTGGACTATGCCACCTGATACCCGGAAGCAATCCCCCTGAGAACTGTAACTGCCCCGCGTATCGCGGAGAAATTAATAAATTGGATAGCCCGAGTGGGGATCCCACAAGAGATCCTGACAGACCAAGGGAAAAATTTCATGTCCGGAGTTCTAAGGACGGTATGCCGGACCCTCCAGATAAAGCAGCTCTGCACCTCGGTCTACCATCCCCAGACCAATGGGCTGGTAGAACGCCTTAACAGAAACATAAAATGGGCATTGCACCGGTGCATACAGGGGGATCCCCGGAAATGGGACCTCCTCCTCCCCCTAATACTATTCACTCTCAGGGACACCCCCCAAGAAT